GAAATAAATTTAAGCATTTAAAGGTACATCACAACACACAGAAACCTGGCGGCATGACAGCAACTATAGAAATCTATCAACCCAGTGAAAGCCCAGCTCCCATGGGCTAACAGGAGAGCCAATGGGAGAGGCTTTCCCTAGATCACCTTGCAGACAGAGAGAGTATACTTTCTTCAGGTGAATGAAACTCAAGACATTCAAGGATGTTTAGAGTAGGAACTGAGGGTAGAAAAGTGAGGAATCATTGTCAGAACACTTGTCTGACCATCCTCCAAACCTGATTAACACAGTCCATCCTGGCATCTAGTTGAAAACCTCTTCCAGCTATTTTCTTGGGTGAGAAGCTCCCTATTCTGTGCACGTGGATATTTAAGGAGGTCTGCATGCCAGCAGCTGCAGTGAGACTGGGTGCCACCGGGGAACATGCAACTCTGCTGCCAGCACCTGCAGAAACAAGAATGTGCACAGTGTGTGTGGATGTGGATGCCAACGTGTGTAATCATTAACACTGAACTCCATCAGCTAGCAAGTGGAAGAGGCCCAAGAGCCAAATAATGAGGCCTGGGCTGGATATTGGAGAGACCAAGGATCTGAGAGTTGACTAGTTGAAGGGGTCCCAACCAACTACTGAGGGAGCTGTGAGATCTGGGGATCATCTTCTGGTAAGGACATGGATCTAGAACAGTTGCAGGGAAGAGCCTTTTTGTCTCGAGACACCAGTGCCAGTCTTTTATGGAAGACAATACTGTGTGTACATGTGTGAATGTGTGTGCGTACATATATGCACATGCATTGGGTTGCAAATATGTGTTGGGGAGTGTGAAAATGTCAGAATGTGTAAGAGCATCTGTACCAGCAGGAAGAGGGCTCTAGCCTCAGGAGCTCACACCTAGAGGAAGCTATGCCAGACTTGGCACTATGCAGATACTGGATTTTGCAGCTCCTAACAGAATATATATCACTTTTAGATTTTCAGTGCTTATAATATTTTAAAAAGAGCACTTTAGGTTTTTTTTTTTAAGTACTAGGGGGGTATCCGTTTCTTATTTTGGTGTAGTATTTTGAGCTTTTAGAAACATTTTTCAATTTAGCATAATGTGAAGCATGAATGACGAAAAAAGGCACAACAGTGCATTTTAAACAGATATGAGTCTCTTGAAAACAATGAGGTGACTGACATAAAAAATAAATGTTATTTGGTTTAGCTCAGCTCTTGCCATATGCTAGGCTAAGCTGATTCTGTACTTCTACATGCTTTTAATTCCTAATTAGGAATCTCTAAACTGTATTAGGAGTTTGATAATTTCCGAGAATATACCATATGTTGTTATATGACAGCTTTTATGGTTTTTATGAATATCTATGCCCAGTTCACTTTTGTGCAGTCTCATCCTGTTACTTTCATGCCTTCCAGCACAAGTAACGTTAGGTTGTCTGTTGCAACACTACTTATAATTTGGTGCAGCCCATATTTGAGGGGTTATAGGCTATGGCTTCCAGACGTATCTTTCATTTCCTCTCATAGTTTTCTCACTCAAGTTTTGTCACATTTAAATATAAAAGACAAACTTTACAAGAGCCTTTGCTTAGAAAAGATCGGATGATTCAGAGAGATGATTTCTATTTTATTTTTATACTTTACAGAGTACATGAAAATGGTGTGCAGAAATGCACATATCTCTCAAGAAGTGTGTGGCAATTTTCTGACATTGCACATTGGTAATATGTGGCAGTTTAGGGCAGGAAGGAAGTGGCAACAACTGCTTGCTGCAAAACCTGCAGAAAGGGTGAGCTCTATTCCTCAAACTAGTCTTAACTTTCATAGAATCACAGCAATAGACTCAGAAGAGATCAAAGCACTGAAAGAGATATCATGTTATGCACCCCAAAAACATATATAATATATATATGTAAAATAGTAATGCTTTCCAGTCCAGTCAGTACTTAATACATTATGGCAGATTTCACTTTCTCCTCATGTTATGCAGTACAATGCTGTATTTTTTCCTAAAACTTTCTGTTCTGATATGACAACCACACCTGTTGCAAGATGAGCACACTGCTTCTTGACTTCTCCACTGAGGACACGGAGAAGAACTCATTTTCTTCCTATTATAGTGCTCCTTTATGGTTCTGAATGCTTTTCCACATCCCTTCAATTTCTATTCTTTAGATTGAACAGTTTTTTCGGTCTTTTGTAGAGGAGGGCTGTGCTTTCTAGACCTTCCTACAGTCATTCTCACTGTTTTCCTCTGAATTTCCCCTATTGATTGAGGTGTTTCTTGGAGTCTGGTGACCAGAATGAAACCAAACATAGAGCGATAGAGTGATGAAGGATACCAAAAATTTATTTTAACTTCTCTGAGGGCAGTATTCCACTCCAGATGGAAGATGCCCTGAATTCTCCAGTGTCAATGGCCTAACATCTCAACTAAAAGCAGTAGCACTCAGAGGTGCTGTGTCACTCATTACATAGAACTAGGACACTTACATGTCAGGATTTGTGATATTGGCTGTATTCCACCACAATTTGTATCACTTCGTCATAGTACTCAGGAGATGGATTTGTCAGAGGACGGATAGTATTGTTTAGCATAGAACTGGACTTGTTCATCTGAGCAGCACATCTGGCTGCCATCCATCCCTAGTTGAGGCAATCCTAACAGAGGGCTCTGTGAAGTGTGCCACACACTGAGTAATGTGCTTTGGAAATGGTAGAACACATATGTTACTATATAGTCTTTTATTTTATTTCTTTCTCTATGCTGGAAGTACCGTTTTCTTCTCATCCTAGTCAGTGTCTATATCTAGCAGAGGATCCTTATATTTAATATGTCTGTTTAATGTTAACCACATTCAACATCATAGTGGAATCAAGTATAAGATTAGAATAAGGATACTGTTAATACAAAATTACTAAAAATATCCAGATATATTTCTCAGAAATTCCAGTCTCCAAAATTCCTGTCATGATTAAAGACCGTGGTATACTAGGTGACCCCTTTTTTGAAATTGGTATGTATTAGCAATCATAATCTTCTCTTCTTCCAGAAGGGCTACTCATAATCACCCTGCTGGCAAAAAGTTTTTGTATGTAATTTCTACCAATTTAAAGAAAAAATAAGATAATGATACATTGTCAGGATAATGAAGACAGTTTTCTTCAGGCTAAAGGAAAAAAATATCTGATTAATGCAATGAAGGTTGCAATGACCACCACTCTTGATTGAAATATACTTTTTGTACAAGGTGGGTTCCAGCTCTGTCAAGAGCTGGAGGTGATAATTTGTGTGAGAACAAGCAGGAAGAATTGGAGTGATGTTATATTCTCTCATAATAAGCAAAGAGGAAGAGACTGAAATAAGCCATATCTTTTTAGCACATTAAAGTCAGAGTAACTCTACAGCTATCAGTAAGGTTTTTGTGGGTTTCTTAGTATAAATGATGGATAAAAAAAAATGTGCCTCAGTAATTTTAGACAAAGATTTAAGAGATGATGCAGTGCATAGTGCTGCAGTTTGGAGAATGAAGAAAATCTACACTAGCAAGTACTTATATGGTTAAATTGCTTCAAATGAGAGTATGATTACTATTAAAACAACCCTAAACTTTAGTCATGAAAAATATGTTCTTTCTCATGTCAATACTGATTCCCTTAAGCTAAGAAGCTAAAATAAAATGACATTTTCTGAAAGAGAGAAAAATGAGGAATTTACTCAGCAAAGAGGTGTGAGCAGAAAGGGGAAACTCAGAGGCATGTCAGCATCTACTTTCTTTGCTTCAATGCTGCAACTGACATGGGGAAAGATGAAGAAAGAAAATCAGTAGAGATAAGAAAAAATCTTTGTAAGCAAACAAGCGAAAAACCACCAGCACTACCAACTGAAAAAAAAAACAAGAATAATTTAAGGGCCAATATGCCTGGATACACTCATTGTCAGGAAGAGAGGATTTTTGTGGATGACTGGAGGTGACCTAGATATGTACATCCCTGATTCACAAGAGTTCTTACTGTAGCTCTTGCTATTTCTACTAACAACCTGACTCCAAATGTGTGATCTGTGACTGCGCATTGTGTCGGGATAAGTGCCACAAGTGTAAATGTTCATATCGCACAAGTAGCACCAATCTTAACGTGACTGGCACTGAAGGAGGGGATGATGCTGAGTAATCTCTGCTGCCTCACTCGGATTTCTTCCATCCATTTGGTAAACACTATGCATGCCAGTGTTGCAGAACCACTGCAGCACAGCCAGAAAAGATGAAGACTAAGAGGTACACAGGCATCTTTCCTCCCAACTTCTCCTTTTTGGCTCTAGATGAGCGTTTTGCTCTCCAAATGATGCAAAGCAGAGATGATTAGTTAGGAAGAAAAATAATCCCCCTTCTACTGTGCTGTGTACAGTAAAGATGAAGGAGATATAGTGCATAGCCAAAGCGTAGGGTTTCTGCAATGTCTTTTGAGGAACCAGAGACGTTTTAACCTGGTGGCATATGCACTGTTGCACAGCTAGCTTGGTTAGAGCTCAGCAGCGACAGTGTTGCCATCCCTCTGAGTATTTCTGTCCTGCCTCTGTTATGTAAGTGCTGGTGTCCCACTTTGCCTGTACAGCTCCCGCCTCACGCACGATGCGCCAGAGCCTACATTGGGGATGATGCTCTCCGAAGCTCAAGGTAACGTAGCAATAACCACAAAAACATGAGCAGCGACAGCTATGAGCAGAGATAGCGAAGAGCAGCCATATGCCGCTGCAGCCATTCTCGGAAGTCCTTTCGGCTCACGGCTAAGCGCACGCTTGCGATCGTCTGGCGGGGGCTGGAGGCCGGTGCCCAGTTCCGTGCCCGGCACAGTGCCCGAGGCAGCCGCTGCCGGGGCTGTGCTGCGGGCGGGGCGGGGCGGGGCCCCCTGCGATGCGAGCAAGAACAGCGGGCTCCGAGCACTGCGGGGGGGTGGGCCGCAGCCCGGGGGAGGAGGAGAAGTGACAGCACAAAACGCCGCAAGGGCACGGCACTCCCGCACACGCACTGAACCCCGCATCCCCGCGGCCGCCTTGGCCTCCACCCCCGCCACCCGCGCACCCGCGCACCTGCTCGCTCGCGACGGGGCGGGCGGAGCGTCGTGCTGGTAACTGGGGAGCCGCGGGGCGGCGCGGACTGGAGCAGCGCGGAGAAACGCAGCGGGCGGAGGTAGGGCGCGGTGTGGGGCCGGGGCTCGGGGCTCGGCCCCCCCCGGGGCAGCGGGCTTCGGTCGGGGGCTGCAGCCTCCATGCGGTGCTGAGGGGACGGGAGAGGGAGACCCCCGCGGCACCAAAGTGGTTTGGGGTCGATAAGGAACTCCCTTTTGGGACTATGCCCTTTAGGAATAGAAAACACCGGAGGAGGGGAGAGGTTTGCCTCCTGCAGTGCACATGGATGTGTTAACAGAGATAGCTGGTTTTGTGTTCACACAGTGTAGGCCAAAGTATAGTTAATGAGGGAAGATATGGCTATTGACAGAAGCTCATGAGAAGCTGCTTTTAAGCTGGATTGCAAGCAATGATGGTGCAGAAAGGACGAGTACATTGCAAGAGAGATGCAGTGTCCATATGCTCTCTGGTATGTTTGGGAACTCCCTAGAGGTGAAACCTGCTGATACAGACACAGCTGTGCTTGGGGCTTTGACAACCATATTTTCAACCATATTCCTACTGGGAAAGAGTGCTTCTAAGGACTACTACTAGTCTACTGTTATAAACTACATTTCACAAATTTGTAAGTGCCTAAGTAAATTATCTACCCGATGCTGAGGGAACCTCCAGTGCTCATCTCTGTGAGGAATTTTCATTTATGTGGTTTTAGGGAAATAATAGTACATGCTGCTTCTGGCTGCTTGCCAGTGCTTCTCAAGTGCAGAGCCTGTTGAAAGACTCCTAACAGGCGCACAGCTTCTGTTGTACTCCTGGTGATGGGCTGCTGGCTTTCTCCAGATTCTGAGAAGTATTTTCACAATTTTTGTGTGCACTTTTAACACTTCCACAAGTTTTAAATGCCAGCAAGCTATACTAAGTTATTGCCAACAGACAGGTGAAAATGGGGTGCTATGTAACCGAATGCCAGTTAGAAACGTTTTGTTTCTGTTTGTTTGTTGTACTAACCTTCAGGTGGTGAATTGAAATGAATTACAGGATAAAAATGGCATATGAGATACACTATTAACATTTGTGTGCGGCTGGGAGTTAGACTCTATGATCCTTTTGGGTCCCTTCCAACTCGGCATATTTTGTGATTTGCTGAACAAGTCACTTTTTATTTTTTTTCTGGTCTGAGCCCATATTTATATGGGATGCATGTAACATTGAAAACATAAGAGTTTCAACTGAGAAGAGGAGCTATCCAGAAGGAGCATGGTGCTGCATCTTGCGCTGAGCCAACTGGAATCTACACAAACCTTTTAAATGTAAAAGGAGAAGTAATAATCTCTTCATGTCCCTCATTTTCCTTTAATTGCTATTCCTTAGAGTTTTTTTATTTGTTCAAATGTTTGTTTTTGATCATCGTGGGGTCAGAATGGGTTGAGGCTCTCAGGGAAGGAGAGCTGGTAGTACGTAAGTGCCTTGGGGAGAGCATAGGAGCACCAGGCCCTGGGGAGGATGTGGCTGGGTAAGGCACTGAACCAGGCATGGGGCTCTGGAGAAGTCCTGAGTTCTGCATGGGTCTGCAGGGCTTCTGTAGGTCCAGCCCCAAGAAACGTTTGTATATTCACTGTTCACACAGATACTGTGCTAATCCACCTGGGTACACGTTGTTAATGGAAGTGAGTTGAGACTGAAGTTGTGGTTGCACTTATTAGAAAAGTACATACATCAACATGGACAAATATTCACCTACTTCCTTGTTACCATGGCTAGTGTTAGAGTTTTTGTGTGTCCTTAGAGGTCACAACAATAACAGCAGCAGGTTACCTCTGAAAGAACTGAACTTTCACCTTTGTTTCACTAAAAGGAAGAGATTTAATGAGGAAAACCTTTTTTTTTTTCCTGCTTTGCAATCATATGACAGCTGTGTCTGTCCTTTGTGCGCATATTCTACTCCAAATAAACTTTCTTGCTTAGGACATGAACAGAAATAGTAAGGAATCAATACTTGCTTATCCGAAACTCAGTTTGAACCACCCTTTCCTGAGGTCCTTCAGTGTTCTCTATTTTGGTGGGGTTTTGTTTGTTTGTTTGTTTTACAGATATATTCTCTGCAGAAGCCTTTGGCTACAGGTCTTACTAAGCCACAGGAATCCTACATTCCATATCACTATTAAAATAGAAATATGAGAAGCAGATTCCTAGTATTAAATGTCTTATGAATTATATCCTAGCTTCACTCTGCCTTATTTGCTTATGTATTGTGACCTCTGATCTTAATCTTTGTGTGTCTTTGTCTATGCACATAGTAAGCTCTTAGAGGCAAGGATTATATCCTGTGTTTGTAGAAGGTAATAAGCTACTGATCCTCATTCTCCTGCTGTTACCAGCATCTACATAAACTATAATGTATTCCTTCAGAATTTCAACAGCAGAATTACTGAACTGTAGTATACACTGCTTAACTTTTCATATCAAAAAGATAGTGAATGACCTTTCTTTGTTCTTTGAATTTAGCAATCTATATTCTGGAAACTTTTTCTCAAGAGAAGTGTCTACCTTCTATTTTCTACTGCAACACTTTGCATTCTCAGTTCAGATGAAAAGACAGTTTTAAAAACAAGAGTAAGAGTTTCATAGTAGTGCTGGAATTTTGCTCATCTTCCTCAGTAAACATAATTGAAAGTGAAATTAAAAAGCTCACTTGCTGAAATGCAGGCATGTACACAGCTGTGTGAGTGATAGGGGTTCTAAGGATCATTTTTAAACCTCAGCCTAATTATATGTAAAGAACAGGAAAGTTGTTTATGACATACGCCGCAGATTTATATATCATTTAATTTTCCATATTAGTTACTGGTGCAGACTTTCTGCAAAATGAAGAATTATGTTCTGTGCCAAACAAAGCTAAAGCTAGAGGAACTGAAATAATCTAGAGATCTGGAAGGTGTTTAAATGTTGTGGGTTTTTTTCTTCCTAGAAAAGCAAATTTGAATGTATGTTACAAACCTCCAAGTAACTACTGTGTATCAAGTAAGTTTGTGGTTGGATGGTCAGTGAGAACATGTTTCACTGTTCCTATTTCAGTGTGCTCTTTGTTGAAGGTTGTAATCTGTCTCTTCCACCCTTTTTCAAAAGCAATCCATGCAGTAGAGAAAGGAAGCACAAAGTGACAGTGTTGGGATTTGGAGACCATCCTATCAAAAACACCTTTCAGAGCCAAAATTACATTTTTCCATGATCTCTTACATGGTGCTTAGTTATATCCCATTGAACTTGGTAAGGTTCCAGTATGCCGATTTGTGATACTGTACAATACTGAAATGAACAACTCCAAATAAGCAATTCAATCCCCTATAACAATTACCAAAGTGACTGTTAGACTGAAAGAACAGTGACAAGTTACCATTCTTCATTTATTTATTATCAATATTTTTTAAAGATGGCGTGAGTATCATTTTGAACCACTCTAATCCACATTTTCATCCTAGCTTCTAATTTGAGTATATCCAGTAGGGGCCACTTCCTCCTTGACAGATGCATTCAAATATGTTTACAATTGAGTTCTTAATTCACATTCACAGATTTTCAGTATTCCAGGATGAAGTTTATCAAATTCTTCCACTTTTAGCTTTGATTTTGTTTCAAATGGTGCTGTTTCTAATTCTGCTATGCTTCTGTCTTAACTTGATCTTATTTTCTACTTTCTTTTTACTTGTCTGGCCAAGGCATTTTGTTTCCTGTCCATACTTTCTTAGTCTTACTCAGATGGACTTTCAGCAAGTCTCCCTTCAGTCTCATAGACAACACACTGTGTCAGAGCTCTTCACCTGTCACCTTTTATTTCTTCCTTCTTATTGTAGATATTGTAAATAAATTAGCTGGTTCTATGATTGTTTGGTGTAGAAACCTGCATTTATGACCTTCAGAAGATACTAGTTCCTACCTTTATGTAAATCTTTTATTCTTGATTAGTATGAGGGTCACTGCTCCCTCAGAGAATCACATCACCTTCAGTAGCATTTATGATGCTGGCAGCATTGCAAAGACCTCTGAGGTTTCTGAAAATGGAACCTATGGGCTTATAGCACTACAACAGTAAGCACTGGTGAGGCAGTGGAACAAGATGCCCAGAGGATCTATGTGTATGACAGTCTTGGAGGTGTTCAAAGCCAAGCTGGATGAGGCTTTGAGCAACCTGGTACAGTGGGAAGCATCCTGTCCATGACAGAGAGGTTCAAATTAAATGAACTTCAAGATTCCTACAAACCAAGCCACTCTGTGATTCTATGGTCCTTTCCTAGAAATGATTTTTGACTTGATCAATTCTATACCACAGTTTCTTTCAGCAGTGAAGTGTGCCTCTTTAACATGTAGTGCTGCTTTAACAATCAGCCTTGCCTCTGTCTTTCCTAAGATTTTGTTCAATTCTTGTGCCATAGTTATTCCAGTTATTCCACTGCATTTCTTGTATCTGTGTAACAATGACTTCTAGCTGCAGTACTTTCTTGCATTTACTAGTCTGTTTTTTATCTTCTCAAATCTAGTCTTGATACAATCTATACTTTTAGACAGGCAAGAAACAGTCTGCTGGGACCCGGGATTTTCTTTCTTTCACCAATATATTTACTTTTTCTTCCCTCTTCGTTGGCTTGCCCTCTGCTCCTATAATTGGATATCATAGAAATCTAAAGCTCTGTTTTCAGGTGTAACTCACTATTTGAGATCTGTATTTGAAATTCATTCTTTGAGGAACAAATACACTTCCAGTAAATATCTCTTTGTAGCTGTGCCTTCCCAACTCTCTTTCACAGCTTGAATTTCTAAATCGCTGGCTCATTGCTCTCCTTTTCCTGGGAGACTCCCAGTGGAGATAATCCATGCCTTCACAGAGGAGGAATCTCCCTCAGGTTACTACATGTGGCATCAGACTGGTGTACTGGAAATCTGCAATTTCTGCTGATATGAAGGAATCTGATAATTTTTTTACACTTATTTATGGTAGGCTTATTGCCATTAATAGATATCTAATAAACGGTCTTCTCAAATATCCCCTTGGTTTTCTGGAACCATGGTACTGGCACACAGTGCTTTCCACTGACATGCTTTATACACTCTAAGAACTTAAAGACAAAAATAAGACATTTTCTTTCCAGTGGTGCTCTAGGTTTAACAATAAGGGAAAATATATTCTCTTATTTAATTTCAGATTGTTCAGAGCATTCTAAAGCACATTAGAAAGAAGAGAATTAAACCAGCTACTTGGAATCCATAATAGATCTAGTGTTTTTCTTACATCTTCCATAGAAGAGACATTATTCTTTTCTGAAAGTTGAAGATAAAAAAAAAAAAAAATACAATACAGATAATTTAAAAATCAATATTGCCATACCATATAAGAAAAAAATTTCATATTGCCTCTTTTCATCTAAAGTCACACTATGAAGGTATTCATGCAGGAGAATGGTGTCAGTGTGACTTTATCCATTAACTACAGATAAATGACAAGCACAATTAAAATTTCTCCTTTTCAGTCTTGTATGTTCATTCTCTGAATGTTCAAACCTAACAATTAAATATTAAAAATAAGTAATACACACATGTTCCATGCTAACACGGGGAATAGTTTACATGGTCCTTCAGGTCTACTTAAGGCTAAGATTTATGTTATATCAGCTACATCTTAAAATGTGCATTTTGAGAGCATATCTGTTTGAAAATACATATTTGTGTCTGGTACTAAAATAAAAAAAATCCTCTTATCAAAAAAGATTTCATGTAAAAGCCATGAGTACATTTTCTGTTATAGGTATGTTAAGATTTACAGATCTGAAAAACATATTTTTTTCTGTTGGAAATAAAATATATTTTGATGATAGCATTAATTATTTGTAGAAGTCCAAAAAAAACTTTTCCTCTGTATTTCACTGAAAAGCTGACTATGCAAGTAGGTCTTTTTGCTCTTTGAAGCTTTTGGAGTTGGCTAGACAGGTGAAAAGGCTGCATGAAGCTTTGCTTTATGTATTTGTCTCATGTGATCTTAGCTGTGACTTTCTGCCCACAGAAGTAACTTGTGAGTACACGTAAAAGTCTTTCTTCTATGGAGTAATTGAGTTCCTTCTTTAAATGAATTAATTCCCTCTGCTTGCAAAGGAATTTTTGATTAGAGAATTGTAGTTAGAACCACAAATTTTTATTTTACAGCATCTAGTATTTAATATCAGCTAGACTACCAGTCTGCCATTTATCCTTGCACAGTGACTCAGCCTACTACGTGAAAAGGTTAAACATATATCTTCATTGCAATTTCTCAGACACATTTAACTTGGAGTTGGGTCAGTGTTTTCCACAGCTTCTCTAAATTGTTTCGTTTACAACTGATTTACATCAGCTGATGAGTGGATATTTAGACAATAAAAAGCTGATATCCTGGTACTGTTGTTGAATAGCATTCACAATCTCTGTTGAGCTTTGGTTTGGCAGCTGTGTGTCTTTTGCATCCCCTCTGATTTAAGGTTAGCTTAGGTCTGCTGAGCTGCACTTTCACATCTAAAATACAAGGTAAACATCTCATAAATTCTGTAGTGATAGAGAAAACAGGGAGTTCTTTAGATCAGGCAGGGGTGGAAGGGCCAGAAAAAGAAATGTCTAAATGTGGTTTCCTCTGACAGGCCTTACATGTTGATGCGGTTCCTTTGGGGCCATTCAGAGGGACTCAACAGACTGCTGACTAAAGCAGCACAGTCTGAAGGCTTCTCTGCCTTCTGTATGCAGGGAACTGTGTGCTGTGGCAGACCTTTGTGCCAGGAGAAGGGGACAGTGCACAATGCCTGTGACCCCATTTGTAGCTCTGGATCAACTTCTTATCACCTTGAATTTGGGGTGAGGCCAGGTTGTATAGTATAAGTGCTGTTCTTTTTGTCTGTATGCCCAGTTCTTCACTAATAGAGAACTAGGTATCCATTTCTACAACATGTACTGGCCTCTCAGAAAACAGGAAATTATTTGATAACATTTGCTGTAGAATTGAATATGGTGTGTTTTTTTTTTGTTTGTTTGTTTTTTTTGTTTTTTTTTTTTTGTTTTTTTTTTAGAATGGGTTTATCATCATGTAAGTCTTGTAGTTACATTTGTTCTAAGCTTGTGTAGTAGTTCAGAGCCTTCAGTGCTAAATAACACTTAGAACAAGATTGCCATATGACATAAAAGAGAATGTAAATATGATTTTATTTAATAGTAAAGTATGGGAACCTCAACACTTCAGATTAGAGTACACAGTCCAGTAGTATTATAATTTGTCGTGATCAGTGAGTTACTATTGCATGTTCCTTTATAACATGATGGAATACACCTATTGGATTTTACAAGTGATTTCATTTTTCCTTCTTCATACATAATATTATTTACATTAAGAAATAGTATAGTATTACTTTTAATATGTACAATGTTATCTCTGTTTCTAAAAGGTATCCATAAGCACCCTTGTGAAAGCATTGATATCTGGTGCACTGCCAATTGTTTTTAATGATTTGCTTTTGCTGTTTTATTCCATGGGTGATTGCCAAACAAGCTTTCAGCATTAATTGTGTCTCTGGCTGGAGCATAATGTATGTGCAAGACACACCACTCCTGTTAAAATAGCTCTCAAGACTTCATTTCACAGAAGTTAAAGTTCGTTCTGGACCTTCGTACTCTCTTTTCCAGGTGCTGGAGTTGCTTGCAAGGACAGTACTGCTGCCAGACCCTGTGAGTTCTTGTGTGGGCCAGAGGTAGCTGTAACTTGTCCAGGCTGGTTGTGCTGAGGCTGAATGCTGGAAGGGGGCACTTGGAGGTTGGCACCTCACCAAGGCTGGTGGCTTGGATCTGTCTGTGGAGGGTGACTTGCTGCAAAGAGATCATGGCCTCATCCCGGCTCGTGGCAAGATCTAGGGACATTGCTAATGTCATGCAACGGCTTCAAGGTAAGAGATGGTCTCTGGCTTTTGCTTTTGTTTATTCATTTATAAATTGAGGTTCCTACTCTTTACACAGTCAGGACAGTGTTTGATTATGAAATTTAGTAGCTCTTCTAAACTTATCTATCAGAAAATACTTACAGTGTATCTGAAAAATTCTGATTGAGTTATCTGGCACATAATTCATTGTAATGTTTAAAAGCCAGTATTACTATGAGCCTGAATTCATAGGGTCAGACTCTAATGCTGTTTCTGCTGTAAGAGCAGGTTGTACATCAATTTTCTCATGGAGAAGAGAACAGAAAACATATCTCTTTTTCTCAATTATGAAGTCTATGTGTACAGTCTTTACAATAAACTAGTATTTTTGCTAGTATTACTTCCTTTCTCCAAAAAAGAACCAGTTCTCATTGTGTTATTAAGTATTGAAGAATTCATAACTTAATGAGCTAATTATTGACACTGAACTAGTGATGTTTAAAATATCTTATTACAAGATATTGCGTTGAATATTCATTATTTTTTATTTTCTTATTTTTATGAGGTTACTATCTTAATTTTTCAAAGTTATACATGAATGCTGCAGTTAAAATTTTGTATTCAGAACTCCTGCTTTTGTTCATTTATTTCTGGTCACTACCTCTATCGTCAGCGCTGAGTAGAGCTTATTTTCTGTTTAATTTCAAACTTAACCATTAATCACTGAAGCTACTACCTTCTTCTTCATCTTCTATACCTGGAAACTTTATTTTCCCATAGTTTTCCTTTCATTTATTGTTTTTCTTATGTGATGAGACTTCTGAACTTTCTTCCTGGTCACCAGATGCAACTAGCATGCATGATTTCTGTGTAGTCTCAGTAGAGAAACATGAGAATAAATGAGGATACAAATTTTGTCCTGTCTAGGCTGGGTAAAGCACTTCTCCAACTCCAAAATACATACTTCTGCCTCATGATTTTTTTGTGATTACTTATTTTCCCCGTATTTTTATTTCTCTGCTATTTCTTAGGCTGAAATCTTGAATAATTGTTGTTCAAAGTGCCCACAAATGTAGAATAAACAAATATTCCCTGCCTAGAGAATTTGTAGTTTAAATGTTAGGGCTAGACGCTCAAGGCAGATGCAAATATGCACAAGAAAAAAATGAGACAACTTGGGTCACAGAACAGATGGGAGTCTCATTTTGTGTATACACATACACGGCAGGTTCTTAATAAGGATTTCTTGAGGGTGAGGAAAAAAAGATTTGAAGAAAGAAATTATTATAGAACTGTCAACAATTTGAGTAAAATAACAGAGATACTTTAAGTTTATAAAGACAAATTGTAAGCGAAAAGGACAGGGTGTTCTGGGGAATTCATCCAGGCTGGTACTCTGAAGCAATGAATCAAGAGGATTCTACAGGAACATTAAAAATCACGTGGACTGTTAATTGTCAAATTACTTTTTACTATTTTTTCTAAATATCTAAAAAGTTGTTAGTGATGAAATGACTGTTTTGTTTATTTGTCTTGTTGGTTTTTTTGTTATTTAATCATTTTTCTTTTTTCAGTATATTTTGTTATATTGAAATCTGTTATCAGATTCAGAATAGTTTTGGTTATTGTTTTTGGGCATGAAGCAAAAGTAAATGACTTTTGAAGGTCACTTAGAAGAAAACACATGAAACTAAAAACATACTTGTCATTGTATGTTAGTTTGAAGTCATTGTTCTTACTGGATTCTTTGCTCCTCAGAAAAAATTGATTCAGGTTTGTATTGCTGTGATCTGGGTTTTGCTGCAGAAGCACTACTTCAACAATGTTTTGCTTTGCCAAGGCTGGAGTGCTTGGAGCCTAAGTCTTTTTTTAGTTTATGTTTCTGCATTATGGATGAGCAGACAGTCAGCAGTGTGACTACTTTAGCTCTTTTGTGTTAAGATTACTCTACCTTTCAGAAACTGTAATCAACTGAAACAGGAGCAGGAATGGACTTAGGAACAGGAAGAGATTTCATGGCATGTTTGCATGGCATCCCAGTGTCTGTGTGGTTGGAACATGACACTTAGCGCCAGACCACAGTGGACTTGACAGTATTCACGGTGTGACAAATGCTTTGGTGGGGCCTCTGTCAGTGCAGAGCCACAGTTTGGATGTACAGTGCCTGCTTTTGTACCTGGCTATGAGCAAGTCAGGGGAGATTCCTTGTATGATATTGTTGGAGGATGCTGTAGGATGTCAGTACTGGAAAGTCATTGGGATTGAGGGAAGGAGATAAAGCAAGTCTTGGTCCTCACTCCACATTATTGTCTCATATTCACTTCGCAAATTTCCAATGATTTTTTTGTGGTGGGAGGTGTAGAAAAGGCCAGAAAAATGCTTCTCATCACTGAGATTCTCAACACCAGTTTTGAAGTCTCAAGAAAATACGTTGTGTGTGAATAGAACTGTATCCATTTTCCTAAAAACTGTCAAAAGATAAATGTAAAATCAGCTGTTGATTTTTTTTTTTTTTTTTAATTTATTATGATGTAACAAGTGTAATTTTTTTTTTTTTTCCCCACAATATCACATGGGACAAACAGTCATGAAGATGTGCTGCATGTTAAGGAGCAAGCATGTAGCAACATGTCATATACTTGTGCACATGCAAATATCGGCCACAGTTTTGCAGTTTCTTACCTGGGAGAATGGTGGACCTAGTCCTTTAAACCAAGTTTTATAAGCTGAGGAGAGAGGTGGACACTGAGTAAGATTTATATTTTCTAATTTCATCATCCCTGTCACTCTAATAAAAAATGTCACATAGGGCTATTTGTTATAGGTCATTCTGCAGTCTGAGGAGAGAAAGGCATCTCCAGGAGCTGTGCTATACCCTGTCATGGGCATCTGGATTAATGAAGACATTTTTGAAACATATCCATCCCAGAATATTTTTTATTCTGGGAATTTTATGACATATATGTAATAAGCAACAGCTGTATTGAAGAATGACTGTATCACAATTGGTTAACCACAACTAGTAACATACATAGTTGCTTCCATATCATTCTTTATTATTCTGTACTATTCAAGTACACTTTGGGGAGAGTGACATCTTTCTACCTCTGTGTACTGCTTACCCTTTCCTCAGTGCTGGCTCTAGTGGTCTGCCCTGCAAGTGTAGCTGTTAAGAGAATTAACAGTGGAGATATGTGAACTTTTGATTGCAGTTTATATGTGAAGAATCTCATATTTGAGGTACTACAGAGTAAATTGATGACATCCTTTAGTGTCTTTGCATAATTTATTCCTTGCTAACACAATCTTAAGGATTCCTACCGTACCTTTTGCTTCTTACTTTACTTTTTCACATTACAAAAACCCTCACAATGCCTGAGCAGAACTGGTATACAACATCAATTGAAGTCACATTCCTGGAATTCTTCAGGGTTATTCAAAGGAGTAAATGCCACAGACAAGTAAAATGTCACAAAGGGTCTTCTTCTTTGTCTAGGGGGAGTGCCAGCTTCTCACACGTTATACATAGTCATACATTAAAGATTCTTATAACGCTTTTAGTAGCTACAAAAATCAAAGCAGGCAGTGCTAGAAAACAAGCTAGTAAAAGCTTTGTGACGTCTGGCATCAAGATAATGTATTTTCCTTAAGTAGTTCACTCACAGACAAACTGCAGTCATACTGTTTTCTGAAGGAAAAAAGATAGGGTCCCATTCTTCCAGACAATGTGTCTCATACGTTGGCCTCCTCTTGCTGGCTTGTAGGATGATAGCAGAAGAGTCACTATATCGTACTACTACAGAAGGCATTTCTCCTTCCCACTTTTCTCTTCCTCCTTTTATTCCAATTTTTCATTTAGTAGTCTATGTAAGAGAGAGATGTTTCTGAGTGGCATTGTGTTCGTCATTTAGTCAAACAGGACATTTTTGTGGATTGCTAAAATTCAGCCTGCATTGTAATGCTAATTTATAAGACACCCAAATTAAATTGCTCTGGTATCACCGATACTTTTTTGATTTGAATCTCATTCAATAAAACCATTTCTATGGTGTACAATGTACAGCAATTAAAACAATATTCTATTATAAGATACGTTTTGTATATCTTGCAAATGGCATGAAACCTTAAATAATATTCTCAATCTTCTGTTTACTTCTGGGCTGCGCTACTGTTCTGGTAAGACCCAAGCTCATTTGGGCTCAGAGCAGTGTTGTGCTTTTGTAAAAGCCCTGCAGAGAGACTTTATAATGCTGAAAAAGACATTGGGAAAGAAAGAAACTTGGCCATTCATGAAGGCCAGCTGTGATGGAAAGTAGCCACAGTTGCTCTAGTAACCTTCATAACTCTCCTGAGAAATTTAACATGGGTTGAATTAGCTTAAAATTCCATCATTTTATTTGAATTTATCTACAAGTAAATATTATCTGTAGTTTAATTTTAATGCTGTCCTTCTGGTCACGCTATTCATAGAATGCTGGATCTGTTTGGGGTTTTCAGTTCTTCTATTTATTTTCCTTCCTTTCACAGCCTAGCATCTTTTCCATTCTGTTGTAGTAGTAGCCATTAGTCATGTGCTAGATTTTTTTTTTTTTCTTTTAGCTGATAAGTACTTTGTTAATAAGTACTTTCATCAGCCTTTCTCTCTGGTTGTTTTCTATATAAGTAAACAGTGCCAAGAACTGCAGTTCAACATTAAGCTAAGCTGATTTAACAGATACCCACTACTGAAAGCTAGCTTGCTTTGCTGCAGGCATATTTCCAATTTTCTTTCCAGCAGTGCTGCTTCTCTTAAATCGGAACCAGATGAAAAAGACAGATGGTTTGTAAAGGTTGGGTGAGCACCTGGTGGCACCTCCCTTTTGCATTCGTCACTCAAAATGGAACATTGCATTTTTAAATGCAATATTGAAAGTATGTTCCTAGTCAGGATTGGAATGTGCACAAGTTAAGCAGTAGAGTTTTACCCTCACATCACAAATACTTTCCTAGTTAAAATTTCTGTCCAGTTTGCTGACATATGGTGGTTC